CTATTGTTCAAGTATGAAGACATTTCCAATTAAATTTCATATCTTATGGCAGAAATATTTTGCTAAATCTCCAATAAATGAAATTATCCCAATACTTGGCACAAGAAATGTCGATAATCTACAAAGACGATTAATACATACCAAATCGAAAAATTAAATAAGATAATCTATCGGATATCTCTGTTTAGTCTTAATATTTGGCATACAATTTCAATATTCCATTTCAATATTCCATAATAAGAAATTTATGCAATTCGGTTTCTACAAAAATTGTTCAGTTCGATATGAAATTTATTCAATTTAATATAACATCTGTTCAATTTACTAAGGAATTTATTCGATTCAATATAACATTTGGTCAATTTACTATAAAATTAATTCGATTTAATATAACATTTGTTCAACTTAGTCTTAATATTTGGCATTTATATTCAATAATTCATTTCTATATGAAACTTGCCCAATTCAACTTAAAATTTGTTCAACTGAGTCTTACAACTTAAAATTTGTTCAACTGAGTCTTAATACTTGGCAGAACAAAGTTGGTGTTAAATTTATTTAATTAAAATTATAATAATTACCAGCAGAATCCTAAGTTTAATATTTGGTATCTAAACTTAATCGTTCAATATTTTGTTACAAAATTCAATTTAAAGTTAGTATTAAATTAAACTTATCCACACAGGAAAATTTTCTACTAATACGATATAAGTAAAGACAAAATTCTACTAATACGATATAAGTAAAGACAAAATTCTACTAATACGATATGAGTAAAGAGAAAATTCTACTAATACGATAAAAGTAAAGGCAAAATTCTACTCATACGGTATAAGTAAAGACAGAAGAAGCAAAACAAATTACAAATAATAGACGTACCAAGAACGGTATAATTACATTCAAACGAATTATTGAACGTTACAAAATTAGACAACGTATCCATTGATCACCATGGCTTCAAAATTAGACAATGCATCCATGAAATTAAAAAAATTATTCTATCCCGGCAAACCGCAGTGAATCAAGATTGGGATAACAACGAAAAATAGAGATAATTATACCCTCAAGCGGAAGCCATCTGAATATTATTATATCCCGGTAAAACCGCAGTGAATCAAGATTGGGATAATCGTACCCTCAAATCGAGGAAAATACCGCATCCCACGGCCAATCACACTGGAATTCATAAAACTAACTCAATTCTACTATAAAACCCAATTATGAATCATGAAATTAAATTCTGATACAAACTGGACAACGCATCCATTGGTCAACGTCGCTCCTGAAACAGGAACACGTTCCTCAGCTCCGTCGTGAAGTTCGACCAATCATTGACAACAAACTCGCGACCGTATCAACTCAGAAAGAGAGCACGAACAATGGAATATAGCCTCCTATTTTTAGTAATTTTAGTATTTTGTCTTTTCAAATTTGTTTCTTAGTTTCATTTTTTGTTTATTTTTTCGTTCTCCATTACACTTTAACATAATTATATCTATCCTATTTAGATTTACTATTTTTTTTGTGCTAATTAAAATGTAGAGCCCTGAAGAGTGTTTCAATATTTCAATAATAAATAAACATGAAACGCGTCGGCAAAATTAACTCTGCATTTCTTTTATCACTTTTATTCAAGCACAATCTCTCAATTTTTCAAAATAATTGCGACTTCGATCGATTGCTGAAAAAGCAAGAGTTGAGACCAGCAGATTGATTTGTCTTTTCGTTAAGAGATAGATCGGTCTGTTTTCATTTGATTTACACACACCCAAACCCACACCCACACCCACACCCACACCCTGCTATTTCAAGCCAATAAAATGTACTCAAAAAAGCCTAAAAGTTAAAATGGTTGATAGTTATAACCCAAGCTATACCCATTTTAACTTTTTGAAAAATAGTTTTAACTCCAACAGTGGTTATTCCACTTGAGATAAATTTGGACTAACTATCCTACTCTCGTGATTTACGGTTGAGACCGTGGGGAAAGAATTCTCGTAAACGTCTTTATGCGTTTGCGAGATCGGTTCTCTATGGTGCTTATTATTGGTATTGTTTGCTATAGCGAAGCTCGGAAACTATAAAAAGGGTTTCCAATGGTTGTTGTTATTTGGAATTTAGGATTT